TGTTACCCCCTTTAAAACCACAGGGTCCCTATACAAACGACACACGGAAAAGGAACCCGTGGCTTGAGCCGTTGTCCCCCCGACCGGTTGTGTGCGGCCACGAACACATTTTCGCCTGCAGGAGCCGCGCGACCACGGCCCGGCGCCCCATGTGGGCGGCAATGTGCAAAGCCGTCCAGCCAGCGACCTTGGCGAGTGATATCCATCGATTCGAGTGGTGCTGATGTAAACTTGGGAGCTGGACCATAAATATATATGTATGTAGTATTTTTAATACATATGTATACATGTATAATGCACAGTACACATATACATGTGTGCTTTTTAAGGGGTGGTCCAAATCCGTGTGGATTTGTGGATTGTTGCAAAACCCACTTCGCGCCAGTTGGGATGGATGAAGCCCGGTCGAAATACTCTGGTTGATAATAAGCTACCCAACTGGTGCGAAGTGGAGCTTGCCCACAGGGCTTACCTTTTGATGTCCCTTGCAACCAACCTTGTTGAAAGGGCACCACCATCCTTCACCCTTGACAGCTCAAGAGAACCACCCTCGAAATAGAGCCTATGGTGACTTCACTTTGTTTGGGGGCTGGATGGGGGAAACATGCATTTGTTCCTCTTGTGGCTGGTGTGAACATTTGTTCCATTTTCCCCTGAAGCAAATATGCATTTTTCTGTGGTGAGTTCGGTTTGTTTGGGGGTCACAAATGCCTGTTTTCCTCTTTTGACTGGTACGAAACTTCATCCAATTCGGTTTGTTTGGGGGACTGCACGCATTTGTTTCCTCTGACTGCTGTGAAAATTCAAAATTTCCCCGGGCGGTTTGGGAAGAGACGAGCCTCTAACCTCGAGGCTTCGGTCCGGCTCAGAGAGTTTTCAGGACTTATCGAGTGAACTTCAACTCGCCATTTGCTGAGTCGCCATGTGACAACAGGAGCCTGTGTCAGGATACGCGAACAAATGTTTGGACGTGCGTGCGCAGTGAATGCACTGCAACCCCAATTCCAACTTGATCCAGGAAGAGCTTTTGCAGGAGCCCTCCATGGCATTGGCGCGACTTGGACGTTGGCAAAGATGAGCGCACTAATCAAATAGGTCCAATGAGGCCTGTCCATGTCTGGCGCTTACCTCCCCCCCTTCAGCCGAGAGAGGCCTTTTGGCCTTCTTTGGGGTTGTCCTTGTTTCGTGGATTTAAAGTTTAAAGGGAGACAAAAGGGAAAACCGAAATCATTTTGGGGGTACCCAGATTTTGAGACACCCCCCATTTGTAGGAAACGGAGGCGGGGGGTTTTGACGCAAGTCTGGCAGGTGCCCAGCTCCCAGAATTCGCCGGGGCGAGTTCCAATCCGTTTGCAGTCCCAGCCACTCTCCGTTGACAACTTCAGTCGCTTCATTCATGTTTTCAAGACTTGCTATTTGATAGGGTGCAGGGGACTCCCCAAAATGCTGGTTGTTCGCTTGGTTTTCAAGCACGCAAAGAAAAGGTAGCTTCAAAGAAGAGGCGCACGCATTTGCGCCAATGCACACCTGATACTTCCGTGTGTTGCCCGAGTGGCTTCCGACGCCAACTTTTCCGAACAAAGACCAGCGCCGATGCTTTGGAGAGTCTCCTTGGGATAGATTCAGGGAAACCACCAGTGGTGAATCAGAAGAAATCATTCCCAAAGTGGAGAGCACAAACCTGTCAGTTTTACACATAGGGGATAGTTGAAGGATGTTAGAAAAAAAACATCCCCGTTTAGAAAACCAAAATCCGATTAGAAACAAACCCCACGGCGTCCCTTTGGCTGAAAAGGGTCGAATTGTCGCTGCATCCAGGTGGCATCGGGCTTGTTCAGCAACGCGGTCTGCTTCATGAACTCCTTCCTGAGGCTCAGGGTCCGCTTCAAAAGCTTGTGGCATTCCTCGTTGTTGTTAGTTTGTTTTTCCCGGAATGAAGGTCTCCGCAAGATGTGACTTGTTTTATGTTGGTTTCTTGTTGAATCCCACTACAGTACTATTTGGGGTCTCTATTGCCGAGGTAATTTTCAACCATAAATCTTGTGGAACCCCCCCACCCCACGCGGTTTGCCGCAAAAAAAATATGTGGCACTAGGAGCAAAGGACATAAATGGGACAGCACCAGAAAGGAGCTGCCAAAGTCGGCAGGACCGAGGGGGTCGCCCATTTGTAGCGACAAAGACTCCTTGCTGGACATTGCATCCAAGTCCGTTTCTCTCTCTCAGAAGAGTTGCAGTTTCTACCATGTTCGGCATGACACAACTGCCAAAAGAATTCACCAACCCGAAACCTAGCGAGAAATCACTCACCGAACACCTACCCATCACCAAAGGACTGGTCTGGAGGACTGAACCGACTGGGGGAAACGTGCGGAAGACCGGATTCCTAGGAACTGCTTGGTTCCCAGCACCGGCTCTTGTGACACACACCACCCAGGCAAAGTGGGTGGCTCGGCGGCTCGTCTTCTTTTGGAGTTGTTACCCTTCTTGGATGGATTGAAAAGGAAAGCCACAAGGAAGAAAACAAATGGGGGGGTCCAATCCAAAAAAGAAGACACGGGGAGTTGCAGGGGACCGACTTCCTGAATGGCCCGGGGCTCAGACACCAAGGCCAAAGAGCCTGAGCGACATGCCTCAGTGCAAGGCCCGAAAGGCCCGTTCGCCTCGCCGTGCTTTTTTGAGGCACGGCAAAAGACAGGTGCCTTGAAACCCCGCTGGGTTTGAAAGCGCCGTATTTTTGGAGGAACGGCAAAAGACAGGTGCCTTGGGGGGTTCAAGGAACCCGTTGCTGCGCAGAAACTGCTGACGGCTTTTGCGGCTGAAGAGCCGCAAAGACGATTGATGCTGCGATGCTGCGAAAAGCCCTGTGCGTGCCTCAAAAGAAAAACCAAGAGGAAGCCACACAGTTTTCGACACGTGTCCTTGATTTTGAAACAACCCCATTATGGCTCCCGTCTTAATCCCACCAAACAAAACTCAAATAGACTTGGAGAAGATTGTTGAACAACATCTCAAACGGGAAATTGCAAGAATCCAAACCGGCTGGCTGTGCTGGAAAACATATCCGGCCTTTACCCTAAAGAGCATCTGACTTGGCAGAAGCCTAGCCTCAACATTCGCAAGTACTCAGCTTCCCCCCAGGTGATTTGGAGCCGGGTGGTGGGTACGGGATGGTTTTCCATCTGCTTCAAATCCAAACCAATCCAATTCACCAAGCGGGGAAGCCGATGAGTTCCTTTGCGCGGAGATTCTCCCCAAAAAGCTGCAGTTCTTTGGGTTTCCCTAATCCAACCAAGCCCTGTAAAAGTTGCATAGACCCTCTGGACATCAAATTTAGGTGGGGACGAACCCTAATCAAACCGAAGGGAACCCGGTGAACGTTTCATAGATGCTCTGCAGGACGCACTGGAGATCAAAACCAGGTGGGCAGAAGAAAACAAACAAGTCCAACCCCAAAGGTGCCGTAGGTGGTGCCGAAATAGACAAACCTCGCAGCTCCTGTGCCCGCCGGCGCCCGCAAAACGTGGCCAGGCGCTTAAGGACAGGGCTGCGTGTAGGATGCTGGTGCCGTTCCCGTCGGTGGCTTCGGGGTTGGCGCCCAAATGCAGCAACCTCAAGTGCAGCGAAATCCTTCACGGCAAAACCTTTGGGTTCGGGAATCTGAAGGGGAGCTAATCATGAACAAAATTACTCAAGTCCTACCAACTTGAGGATTGATCATTCTTTGAAGGCTTGGAGCATTACACAGGGGTGAGTCTGACATTTTCTTGACCCCAAAATGGACTTCGGTGTTCCATCGTGTTCCTTTTAGTCTCCCCTTACATCCAACCAAAAAGGGGCTAAAAAACACGGCGGGTGGCTTAGACATAATTGTCTTGATATGCGGATGCCCATAGTTCCTCGGCCACTCGATGTGGGCTCAAACGGGTCAAAATCAAGCCAGGATATGGACCGCGGGTTTCAGTCCTTGGTTCCCTTTACTAGGGTGACCCGTTTTGGGTACCCTTTTCGGACCCACTGCCTAATCCTATAGTAAGGTCATGTAAGGTCTACAACGGTGGCCGCCTCTTTTGATGAATGGGAACCTCTCCCACTTCTAGCCAAATGTCATGTTTGTTTGCTCTCATCATCACTCCTTTGGACCAGGGTTGGTCACGGCTGGATCTTCAAATGCAAGAGTTCATGACTAATCGAGCTCAAAATCTCTCTAACAAATGGGTGTCATGATGGTTCTCCCACCACCTGGCTTGAAATACACACACATAAGCTCAAGTTGCTTTGCAGTCGTCAAGGTGGTTGCTGTCCTGTTTCTTTCCCAAAACCGAAACCCAAACTGAGTGTGTAAACCCAAACCAGAACTTCGAACCCCAAAAAACAAAGAAGGCGGCTTCCTGTCAGTTTCCATAAAACACAACCAGAAGGCCCCGAACCCCCCGAACCGCCCCCCCCCCCCCACAACCTAAGTCGGACTGCTCCGGGGCTCCGGGCCACCTGACGGCAGTGAGAGCGGAGGAGCCCGCGAAGCACAGCAGGTTGGCGTCCTGAGTCGTTTTGGGCAAGGCGCACCCATGGGGCGTGGCTCAAAACGAGCTGCCCTGATGGAAATGCGTTGACTGAAACCGTTTCTCATCCTGGTTCAAGTTGGACCCCCACCCATTTTATGAGTAAGCAGACGGGCCCTCTTGATGGGAGATGTGGAGAAGCAGGGGGTTGAAGGCAATGGAACCCGTCCCTGGAGGGACCCCTGATAGAAGTCAACCGTGCCTTCACCTGTGGCAACTCTTGGATGTCAAGAGGCCCCTTTCCTTGTTCAAGGTCGGAACCCAACCCTCAGAGTGTGTCCTTTGTGAAATTCAACTTGGTGCTCGTTCCTGGTTTCCCTTCTTCGGAACATACTCAAAGGGGTGAGGGTATCGGGGTGTCACAGCTGTACTTTATGATTTGTCCACACTTCCAACAGACACCAACCTGCCCTATGCGGCTGTGAAATCTACATGCCACCAAGATTTCACAGAAGGTCCATTGCCGGATTGCGACAATTTTGTGAGTAGAACTTTGCGAGGTGTTGCCAGGACTGATCTTCACACAAGGCGGGGTCCCCGCAAAGGCAAGCATAAGCCATACGCGTGCGCTGTCACAACGTGCGAAGTGGATCTTGTCCATCCGCAGAACTACTCATTCTCCGACTGGGCTGTCCTCAGATCTTCTGCTAAAAGTTTGACATTGTGGGTTGAATGGAAACACCCACAAGCCCAAAAAGAACAAAAACCAAAGGCACGACTAACCGCCAAGCTGTCCTCAAACTTGATATGCTCTGGCTGGGGCACCCCAGCTCTGCTGTCACTGCCGTACAGGGTGTCCTCGAAAACGCGGCCAACTGGCTCCCCGTTGGCCTCGGCTGCGTTTCTTCGGTGGAAATCCACTCCAATCAACTTCGCCCCTGCTCCCAGAACGCATTTTCCCTGGGTTTACGTAAGAGGTTCTGCATGGTATCTCCCTTTCAGTCAAGGATTGACACCATACTACCCTAAACAAGTGGGTATTGGATTGGGTGGGCTACACCCAAATGCTGACCCGGGATGAATGACTAGGATGTCCTGGGCTAGAGCGAGAAAATGACCAAATGACCCAAAACGGATAGGGTGCCCTGTCTTCCTTCAAACGACCGATGAGGCGTGCTGCCCCATTCTGCACTATTCACTACGGTGCATAGTGCAGAATGGCGCCTTGCAATCCTCGAATTATTGTGAACAGTGACTCTTTCTGTGATACCAAAGGTGGTTTGTTGGCCCATTCAACTGCTTGGCCACTTTACTTTTAGGATTCCCCCAAAGTCGCAACGTAAATCCCTGCATTTTCCTCTAAATAGGGCCCGTAAAACCAGTTGGTTTCCCTTAAGCCCAAAAGGGGTATGCTCAAAGACCACTCCCATGTGGACGCAGGACTCTGCGAGGTCCATTCAAACACACTGACAGACTTTGAGGGCCTGCAGTCTTGGTTTCTTCCGCCTAAAGACCCCCGTTGCCTCCCCCCTCAAGCAACAATTCGGTACCCATCCAAATGTCACAAACACTTTGCACTGACCAACCTACCACCAACAACTCACTTTGACTCCAAAAAAAATCACTTACAACCCCACCCACCAGCCCCCACCCCCAATATGGCGCACAGCACTTCTCCCCCCGAGCGCCGGAGCCTTCGCCGGGATTCCGGGCCAGGCCCTGGCCCCAGTCCAGCACGGAGAGGCTCTCAAAGCCCACCAGGCCTCAGCCCGATGCGCCGGGCAGTGCCGCGTGGCGCGCATGCGTCTCTTGGGGGATGCCCCCCCCCCCCAAAACGGATGGCTGGCCGGCGTTCCTTTCGGGGCTCCCCTGAAAACCAACCAACAGAGGGTTGGCCCCAAACAAAAGACACACCGGGTACTGCCAAAAGCACATGTTGGGTCATGGTGGAAACTGTTAAAATTGCTTCCCTTATATTACACGAAATTTGGAACCCGACAAAACAAGGATTGTCTGTGGAATTTCCTGTAGCTGGTTTCTTAGACAGGACGAGAACAACACTGGGTTGCCACTCCCCCTTTTCCTGTTTGTCCTACAACCTGCTTTATGCGGGGGGGGCCCGGGATATTAGCCACTTGCTAAATGGGTCGTCATCCAAGTGGGCGGATGGCATTTGAAGAAAATCAAGGGTAATTACCCTCCTTTCAACTATGGATTCGGACAGGAGTTAGGGCTCACAAAATTCGACCGCCCCCCCCCCGCTCCAAATCCAGGAACCTTTCCACACCTGACATCCCCATGTGATTTAGACGAGATCCGAACAGAAGAAAACACACATCGAATGCAACAAGAGGAGTAAAATGATAAATGCCTCTTTCCAAAAAACCACGGAAGTTCCGACTAAGTCTTCCTTTTGGAACTTGGAACACTTTTGTGTGCACATGATGGGCTAAAGGCAAGTCCTTGATAGACTAGGGGAGTACAAAATGGGCATCCGCATCCTCCTTGGGATCCCGAATCCGCAATCCATGGGGCACGACAAGGGAGACCGCTACCATACTGGATCTCAAGCAATTTCGGGCTACCCTCGAAAGGAGTACCTAGAGCAAATAGAGGGGGCAAGTGTCGCCTTGGAAAGCACATTGAGTTGCTAAGTCTGACCGTTTCAAAGTGTTGCACAAGAATTAGGGATTGATTCTGAACAACACAGGACGGAAGTGATCTTTGATTTCAAGCAGGGATCCGTTGCCTCACCCAACCTACGATCGAAACAAGTTTGTGAGAACCCGTTCAATAGGTCGAATCAACTATCACCAGGTCTGTAGATTGCTGTACAGAAATCCATGCAACCCCTCAAAGAAATGCAGCCGAAGGGGGTCTTGCGGGAGCCAGACTTCCCGCCTACGGACTCCTCCTCGCAATCGGCACCCAGCTGGTGGCAGCAGCCAGGACCTCGAGCGCTTCGCGCCGGCCCCATCCAAGGGGTGGCTCGTGTTTTTGCTGAGCTGGTACCAACCTTTGTTTGGTGGACCAAGAGAAAAAACCCTCTAACCCCAAAATGGGGGGGGGGGGCGATTCCTAAAAGAGGACACTAAATCGGGGTATACTGAGAAATGGTAGCAAAAGGATCCGATTCATTCAGGGCCCTTTCTTGCTTTTCTTTGAGTTCTTTCCCCCGAAAGAAACAGTCAGTCTGCCCACAAGCAGCGAGCATGGGCTTTTTCCATAAATTTGCCAGCAAGCCAATTTGTCTAGAAAGAAAACCGATCGCAACGGATCAGGCAGCGGGGTCCATTTTGGGTGTTTGTGGATTGAATTAGCGGATAGTTTAGGGGATGGTTTCAACCCTTTACCCAGGTGTTCAAATCCAACCACCAAATCCAAGCCACCAACTAAGGGCTACTTGGTTTTCTGAATTAATCATTGTGTAGGACACTAGGTTTGGTGTAGCAACATCCATGGAGGCCAACCAAAGCACTCTCGAGACTACGTTTGTTTCAGCCATGTTGGGCAAGTGTCCCATGAATTTGTCCCTACTCGAGAGGCAACATGAGTCCTTAGCGTCGCAGTCGATTGGTGCAGGTCACGCAAGCAAACAAACAAGCAAGCAAACGCAACAGCAAGCAAACAAGCGAGCAAACAAACAAACAAGCAAAAAAACAAGCAAGCAAGCAAGCAAGCAAGCCAGCAAGCAAGCAAGCAAGCAAACAAGAAAACAAGCAAGCAAACAAGCAAACAAAAAAACAAGCAAGCAAGCAAGCAAGCAAGCAAGCAAGCAAGCACGCCAGCAAGCAACCAAGGAAGCCAAGCAAGCAAACAAACAAGAAAGCCAAGCAAGCAAACAAACACACAAGCACGCAAACAAGCAAGCAAGCAAGCAAGCCAACAAGGAAGCCAAGAAAACAAGCAAGGAAGCAGGCAGGCAAGCAAACGAGCAAGAAGGCAACCACACAAGCACGCAAACAAACAAGCAAGCAAGCAAGCAAACAAACAAGGAAGCCAAGCAAACAAACAAGGAAGCAAGCAGGCAAGCAAGCAAGCAAGCAAGCAAGCAAGCAAACAAACAAGGAAGCCAAGCAAACAAACAAGGAAGCAAGCAGGCAAGCAAACAAGCAAGCAAGCAAGCAAGACAAAGGAAGCCAAGCAAGCAAACAAGGAAGCAAGCACGCAAACAAACAAACACACAAGCAAGCAATCAAGCAAGCACACCAACAAGCAAGCACGCAAACAAACAAACAAGCAAACACGCAAGCAAACAAACAAACAAGCAAGCAAGCAGGCAAGCAAAAAGCCAAGCAAGCAAAAAAGCAAGGCAGCAAGCAAACAAGCAAGTCAGCAGGCAAACAAGCAAGGCAGCAAGCAAACAAGCAAGTCAGCAGGCAAACAAGCAAGAAGGCAAGCACACGAGCAAGCAAGCAACCACACAAGCATGCAAACAAACAAGCAAGCAAGCAAGCAAGCAAGCAAGCAAACAAACAAACAAACAAGGACAAACAAGGACGCAAGCAGGCAAGCAGACAAGCAAGCAAGCACGCAAACAAACGAGCAAACAAGCAAGCACGCAAACAAGGACACAAACAAGCAAACAAGAGAAGCAGACAAGCAAACAAACAAGGAAGCCAAGCAAGCAAGCAAAAAGCCAAGCAAGCAAAAAAGCAAGAAAGCTAGCAAACAAGCAAGGAAGCAGGCAAACAAGCAATAAAGCAAGCAAACACGGACAAGCAGGCAAGCAAAGAAGCAAACAAACAAGGAGAAGCAGACAAGCAAAAAAAAAGGAAGCCGAGCAAGCAATCAAACACACAAGCACACAAACAAACAAGTAAGCAAGCAAAAAGCCAAGCAAGAAAACAAGCAAGCAAGCAAACAAAGACACTAGCAAGCAACCAAGCGAACAAAAAAGCAAGCAAGCAAGCAAACAAGCAAGCAAGCAAGCAAACAAGGACACTAGCAAGCTAGCAAGCAACCAAACAAACAAGCAAGCAAGCAAACAAAGACACTAGCAAGCTACCAAGCGAACAAACAAGCAAGCAAGCAAGCAAACAAGCAAGCAAGCAAGCAAACAAGGATACTAGCAAGCTAGAAAGCAACCAAACAAACAAGCACACAAACAAACAAGTAAGCAAGCAAAAAGCCAAGCAAGAAAACAAGCAAGCAAGCAAACAAAGACACTAGCAAGCTACCAAGCGAACAAAAAAGCAAGCAAGCAAACAAGCAAGCAAGCAAACAAGGACACTAGCAAGCTAGCAAGCAACCAAACAAACAAGCAAGCAAGCAAACAAAGACACTAGCAAGCTACCAAGCGAACAAACAAGCAAGCAAGCAAGCAAACAAGCAAGCAAGCAAACAAGGATACTAGCAAGCTAGCAAGCAACCAAACAAACAAGCAAGCAAGCAAACAAAGACACTGGCAAGCAAGCAAGCAAACAAACAAACAAGCAAGCAAACAAAGACACTAGCAAGCTAGCAAGCAAACAAACAAACAAGCAAGCAAGCAAACACAGACACTGGCAAGCTAGCAAGCAAACAAACAAACAAGCAAACAAAGACACTAGCAAGCTAGCAAGCAACCAAACAAACAAGCAAGCAAGCAAACACAGACACTAGCAAGCTAGCAAGACAACAAACAAACAAGCAAGCAAGCAAAGACACTAGCAAGCTAGCAAGCAAACAAACAAACAAGCAAGAAAGCAAACACAGACACTAGCAATCTAGCAAGCAAACAAACAAACAAGCAAGCAAAGACACTAGCAAGCTAGCAAGCAAACAAACAAGCAAGCGAGCAAAGACACTAGCAAGCTAGCAAGCAAACAAACAAACAAGCAAGCAAAGACACTAGCAAGCTAGCAAGCAAACAAACAAACAAGCAAGCAAAGACACTAGCAAGCTAGCAAGCAAACAAACAAACAAGCAAGCAAAGACACTAGCAAGCTAGCAAGCAAACAAACAAACAAGCAAAGACACTAGCAAGCTAGCAAGCAAACAAACAAACAAGCAAGCAAAGACACTAGCAAGCTAGCAAGCAAACAAACAAACAAACAAAGAAGCAAGCAAGCAAAGACACTAGCAAGCTAGCAAGCCAACAAACAAACAAGCAAGCAAGCAAACACAGACACTAGCAAGCTAGCAAGCTAGCAAGCAAACAAACAAACAAGCAAGCAAAGACACTAGCAAGCTAAACAAACAAGCAAGCAAAGACACTAGCAAGCAAGCAAGCAAACAAACAAACAAGCAAGCAAGCAAAGACACTAGCAAGCTAGCAAGCAAACAAACAAACAAGCAAGCAAGCAAAGACACTAGCAAGGTAGCAAGCAAACAAACAAACAAACAAGCAAGCAAAGACACTAGCAAGCTAGCAAGCAAACAAACAAACAAGCAAGCAAGCAACGACACTAGCAAGCTAGCAAGCAAACAAACAAACAAGCAAGCAAGCAAACACAGACACTAGCAAGCTAGCAAGCAAACAAACAAACAAGCAAGCAAAGACACTAGCAAGCTAAACAAACAAGCAAGCAAAGACACTAGCAAGCTAGCAAGCAAACAAACAAACAAGCAAGCAAAGACACTAGCAAGCTAGCAAGCAAACAAACAAACAAGCAAGCAAACACAGACACTAGCAAGCCAGCAAGCAAACAAACAAACAAGCAAGCAAAGACACTAGCAAGCTAGCAAACAAGCAAACAAACAAGCAAGCAAGCAAACACAGACACTAGCAAGCTAGCAAGCAAACAAACAAGCAAGCAAGCAAAGACACTAGCAAGCTAGCAAGAAAACAAACAAACAAGCAAGCAAGCAAAGACACTAGCAAGCTAGCAAGCAAACAAACAAGCAAGCAAGCAAAGACACTAGCAAGCTAGCAAGCAAACAAACAAACAAGCAAGCAAAGACACTAGCAAGCTAGCAAGCAAAAACAAACAAGCAAGCAAGCAAACACAGACACTAGCAAGCTAGCAAGCAAACAAACAAACAAGCAAGCAAAGACACGAGCAACCTAGCAAGCAAACAAACAAGCAAGCAAGCAAAGACACTAGCAAGCTAGCAAGCAAACAAACAAACAAGCAAGCAAAGACACTAGCAAGCTAGCAAGCAAGCAAACAAACAAACAAACAAGCAAGCAAGCAACGACACTAGCAAGCTAGCAAGCAAACAAACAAACAAGCAAGCAAGCAAACACAGACACTAGCAAGCTAGCAAGCAAACAAACAAACAAGCAAGCAAAGACACTAGCAAGCTAAACAAACAAGCAAGCAAGCACACTAGCAAGCTAGCAAGCAAACAAACAAACAAGCAAGCAAGCAAAGACACTAGCAAGCTAGCAAGCAAACAAACAAACAAGCAAGCAAAGACACTAGCAAGCTAGCAAGCAAACAAACAAGCAAGCAAAGACACTAGCAAGCTAGCAAGCAAACAAACAAACAAGCAAGCAAAGACACTAGCAAGCTAGCAAGCAAACAAACAAACAAGCAAGCAAAGACACTAGCAAGCTAGCAAGCCAACAAACAAACAAGCAAGCAAGCAAACACAGACACTAGCAAGCTAGCAAGCAAACAAACAAACAAGCAAGCAAAGACACTAGCAAGCTAGCAAACAAGCAAACACACAAACCCACAACAAAAGTCGTGCTCTATCTTTCTGACACCTTAAGCGCCTTGGGTCCCCGGCCGCATCGGAGCAAGGCGGCTCCCATAACCACAACATCCCCAAAGTCTTCGACGCAGCCTTTGACGCCTTTGGCTTGAGGTTCAGTAGGGTTGAATGTGGGGAAGGGGAATTTGGGTCCTATGCCAATCTCTGAAACAATCCAAGGGTGAAAGAACACGACCATGTTCTGTTGCCCAAGAACTCTTTGCTGCCTATGTCAGAACGGGGGGAGCTGACATAGTGCCAACATGGTATACTGTAGTCATTTAATCAAGCACTGAGCCAGAAAGAGAGAAGTGTCGAACTGAGCGAATCAGGGTGCAAAGCCACCAACTCAGCAAGAATCGGTTTGATAGATGTTTGTCAACATGCGTTTGAACGATTGAACAATAACTTCATCAACTGATCCAAAAAACCACCATCCACCATGAGTAACTGACACCACCTATGAGCGACTGCCTTCCGCTGTGTCTTCCCTCTACATTGCGAGGCAACCCACCCCAAACCACAGGAAATCCCCCATATCGTATCTGCAGCGTCCGCATAGATGCGACGACACCTTCAGATAGAAGCAGCAGCGACTGCACCTCGAGCATTGCTATTGGCGTGACCAGATGTTGCCGGCTACACCAATGGAGCGAAAGATACGTCCCCCTCCCTGGCAAACAATGCATGACATCGAACAACTAAGCACTGAGCTAGTATCTAGTAGCTAAGCTTGCATGGAAATGAGTCACGCGGCTGCTATGCTCGCATGGCAATGCATGACGATGTGCAATGACCGTGGGCAGCCGACAACCAACATGCTCTGCGGTATTCCCAAGGCTCATCCTGGCATCAAACAAGAAACGCATTCCCCGTCACGGCTCGTGGAATTACGCAGCACCTCCTGGGCTTTGGGATCAAAAGAGCAGAAAGCATTCCATATCTGGCAACGGGACTCTCCCCCAACTTTTGCCAGCGCTTGTCGAGGCTCGATTGACCGCGAGCATCCAAAGTTCTAGAGAATTATTCCAGAAATACGCTGACCCATCCCAATTGGTTTCTTGACTCTCAAAAAACCAATCCATCAGGTTGAGGAAGCGGGCTGGCCCTTGGCACCCCCCAATGACTGCAAGTATGGTGAGTATGGTGACAAGAAACCAACATAGCCCAGACCCAGGGTCTCCCAAATTCCTCCTTAAGCATTGGACCCTAGAACTCAGGGCCTGATGCTTAGGGTCGAATCTTTGGGAGCTAGCGATGATTCAACGACTTCCGCCACTGACCTTAGAGCGTATTTACCCGTAGTTTGCCAATAAATTTGCCCATCATTTAACCATAGAGCGTTTTCTTCCACACTTTGCCCTGACCATTTGTGGTTTCTTCTGGGGTATGCTGCACCTTATGATCAGTACCGGTGATATGCTCAGGGCGCAACTTCCCTGAGGCGTGGAGCGCAGAGCCGATGGATGGAAGCGCGCCGTTGGCCTGGGCGCGGAGTCATCCTTCTAAGAACGACCAACTGGTGCCCAGAGTATCCCTGGTTCCGTCCCCTTGGGATTTACCCTGGACTTGAATTTGCCAACCACTTACTTGGGGCGGGGATCCCAGCAAATCCAGACAAGAAAACACAAATGAAGCCTTGCCGAAGGTGAAAAGTGACTGTGGGAGATTACAACATCCACGATTTCTTCGGACCAGCTGGTGCTTTATCCATTCAAATCGGGGCAGAACCAGGAAGATATGGTTCTGGAAAGTCACCCTTGTGACACCGAAGTAACACTTTCCATCACAGAAATGGGCTGCCGAATGTCAACAATTCCATCGCAGAAAAGGCTGTGCACACTTTAGGAACGGCCATGTGGCTGTGTCTCAAACCAGGTTGCAACCTTTCAACCAGTTCAAGTGTCCAAAGGGCTCGTCCCCAGTTTCCCCTACATCGAAAACAGTCCAATGTCAGCTTCCTCCAATTGGTGGTTTGGTTTGGTAGTTCAGAAGTGTTCCGGGGCGAGCTTCTCAGTTTCCAAGAAAAATTCCAGGTTACTTTATTTACTAACCAATTTTTCGGAATGCCTGGTGGTTTGTCTTGGATCGCTTCCTTTCACAAGCTCGAGTACAAGCTCGAGTTAAAGGAACTGGACTTCTCGCGATTCGATCCAAAGCCGCTTGGGACGCCAGGTCAATTGGCTTCCGCTAAGCCGAAACCAACCCAGGCCCACCCCGGCACATCTTTTCGCGGGGCCCCGCGCCGGAGACTCGGAGTCGCTGCCTGTTGACCCAGACGAAGCTCGGGCGGCTGAAAAAAGCGAGGGGAAAATGGTGCCCCAGACGACTTTCGAACACCTCGGTTTTGATGCTTGGACTCTTGGCTGGACTCTTTGGACCAAACATGAGGCACCTAGTGTGTGCACGAAGCATGTTTGAGGATGCGTTACTCCTTGTTTCCGTACAGACCTGCCCGCACAAGCTTGAACATGACACACACAAAAAAACAGACACATGCGCGACATTCAACTAGCTATGCGGGGACTCTTCTCCCGCCTCCGCTGCTCATGTTGTCATCCTTGTTGGAATCCTGCACCGCCATCTTGGGTTTGTCTCGTGGGAAAACTTCTCAGATCCTTTCGTCCCACAAGTCCCTTTCGGGTCCTTTGGGTACCAACCCTAAGCGAGACCCCTTGTCGGCCCCTCTGGTCCCCGTTTCTTTCCAAAACAACCTCAGCGAAAATTTCCAGGGCCGACCAAAGGCAGCACGAACCCCACGGGTTTCACCCCTGAGCCACGGCCAGTGGCCACTCCGCGCCTCTCCCGCATCTGTACCCTCGCGGGGTGTCAATGCCTCATCCTGCGCCTTTCGGCGAACATTCCTCACGGCCCCTTGAGGACCCAAGATTAAAAAAACAACCTTGTTGGGACCTTTTATCCAAAATTGGGACAACAAAATGGAAACCAAAAGGTTTAATGGCCGGCTTTCAACAACTGAACATTGGGATCTTTACTCAAAATAGACCAACAAGTGGAAACAAAAGGTCAAAAGGAGGTTTTCCCCTCGCCAAACACAGAACAACGCCAAGCAAGCCAATCGCCGTCAGGCGGTCTGCAACGGTAGAGTCAAGTGGCCTTCCTTTGAAGACTAAGTTCACAAGGAGATCGACCCGCGAGAACCTTTTCCCCTGCTTCGAGTCAAGGTAGAGGGCTCCAGAGCAACCAACCAGCATAGCGCTTGAACAAAAAGCTGTTTGAAAGACCCTCTCATTTCTTTGCGGCTGCTGTTTCAGGGAATGCGCAATGGGGCAATTCCCTCCAGAAAAAAATCGTACCCCTTTGGAATCCCCGCATGTCTTCGGACGAATCGCGGCTCATGTCTAGGATAGCTTCATTTCACGTTTGAAGGTTATACCCCAACAGCACCCCCAGAAAGCGGACAGACTCCAAAACAGCTCTACAAGGCCTAAATACCACCTCTTCCAGGGGTCTGATCATTCCCCCAAATCTCTCCCAAGTTGCTCTGGGGAGATGTGCTCTGGTCCAGATCAAAACCGGTGCGGTTCGCAGTCTCCGGCGCGGCTCCGGCCTGAACCTGCGCGTCACCTTTGGGCCGAATCCGAGAGTGCTGAGTGCTGATAAAGCAACTGGAGAGAGATTTTCCACTTCCTGGATTGGCCGAAAAAAGATCAAACCATGTGGGCATGTATAAAACCCCCCCATCCTAAACTGCAATTGGGGGGGGGTTGTTATACAAGCCCATGTGTGTTTGGGTCTAAACCCGAAAAGTCGCGGCAACTCGAAAGTCCAAAGCTTGGGTGACTGGGATCTTCCTGAACGTTCGCAAATGACTCTCCATCGGATCACCCGAATAATAGGCGTTTGAACCCGGGGAAAACATCTATCAACAAGCGCGGGGTCCGGGGATACGTGTTCTTCTCGGCGGGGGGGGGGGGAATTGTCAAAAAAAAAAACACATCTATTTGTTTAACACAAGTCCGCGTCTCCGTTTGTTTTTCTCGGAGGGTTGGGCCTTGGGAAGTCGAACATCCAAAAAACGCGCACCGCGCCTGGCACCGGGTAATCCAGGCCCTGGGAGAGGGATGCATCGAGCTGGAAAAGCGGAGTGTCTTTTTGCAACTAGGTCCTCCAGAGAGGTTAGAAGAAGTTGGTACCAACTTTTTCCTGCAGCTTATTTTGGTGGGGGAACTCTTTTCCAAAAAAAAGGTAAAAGGGCACTACTGGGGGACCTAAGTCAGGACGTGGACCCCCTAAAAAAATGGGTGGGCCTTCCTTAAAACCGCCAAGAAAGGGGGGGCGCTTCTTCTGGGGTTCCTGTGAAGCCACCAAAGAGGCGGGGGTACCAACTGTTCACCTGCCAAGTTCCGCTTCCGGTTCCGGCTTCATCTGAGTAAAGCCGGGACGCGCGGCCTCTGCATGTGAGAACAGTCCCAACGTGCATGGCCAGGCCTTCCAGTTCCCACCTCTGGGCCATGTACAACCTAACCCGAAGAGCCACGTATGGCGGCTGCGGCTGAAGGCACCGGCCATGGTTTTGCCAGATCCACGGATGCCCACAAAAACCGCCCACGGCAATAGGGCCATTCACCGCGCCAAGGGCTCGCCGCCAGCTTGTCTCACAAGGAATCTCAGGTGCACGTCAATTGGGTGAATCCGTGGGACATGACTAGAAAAAGACCCCTTTCAGAACCTTTACAACCAGGACCCAAAGGAAAAGATCGTCTTGATCTTTCCCCTCGTGCCCTCGGGCCTTCATCGGGGTGGTAGCAAGCATTGTGCGTCGCCAAAAATCCTCGCGACTCGCGACGTTGTCTCGACCGAACAAACTTAGACCAACAAATATATAATTATATACGTATATACTGGGATGCCCTCAGATCCCCGAAAGGTTTAACGTTTAGTGGGTTAAATGGAAACCCCACTCAACCCTCCCAAAAACCTAAGGGGACGGCTGGGAACCGCCAAGTATACTGATGAGGATCGATTGAACAAGACTTGAACCCGCAAAAATCAAGAACCTCGAATCTTAGTGCGGCTTCTGGGTCTCAAAATGACTTACGAAACCCTGCACCAGTTGAGTAGCCAGTATTCATAGGGCATCATCCATCCCAACTGGCACAGGAATTGACACATCCCCAAATGCGAAATCCGCCGACCCCTTCTCCTCAAAGGGGAGGCGCACGGGAAGGGTGGTTGTAGTACAAGCGCATGGATTAATCTTTGAGGCAAGCATATGACTACTGGCATCATACGGATGCCCATCATCATCATCATCATCATCGATATGATCCTTCATCATTCTTATCGTCAACATCATCATCATCATTTCTATATCCTTCCACATCATGATCTCTTATTAGCCGGCACTGGTGATGCCGAGGATGTCATCATCATCTCTTATTAGGCAGCACTGGTGATGCAAAGGGTGTTATGATGATAGTTGTCGTCATAATCATCATCATGATCATCCTTATTATGATGTCATCGCTCTTCTCATCATCATCATGATGATCATCATCATCTCATTCTTATTCTTATTCTTGTATGCATTTCAAAAGTAACGTTAGGCCCCATTGACAATGCAGAGGATGCTACGATGATAGTTATCATCACAGTCCTCATCCTTATCATCACTATCATCATGGTCATCATCATCTCTTGTTAGCCGGCACTGATGATGCCGAGGATGCTACGATGATAGTTATCATCACAGTCCTCATCCTTGTCATCAGTATCATCACGGTCATCACCATCTCTTATTAGGCAGCACTGGTGATGCAAAGGGTGTTACGATGATAGTTCTCATCATAATCATCATCATGATCATCCTTATTATGATGTCATCGCTCTTCTCTGATGATCATGATCATCTCATTCTTGTTCTTATTCTTATATGCATTTCAACAGTAACGTTAGACCCCATTGGCAATGCAGAGGATGCTACGACGATACTTATCATCACAGTCCTCATCCTCATCATCACTATCATCATGGTTATCATCATCTCTTATTAGCCGGCACTGGTGATGCCGAGGATGTCATCATCATCTCTTATTAGGCAGCACTGGTGATGCAAAGGGTGTTATGATGATAGTTATCATCATAATCATCATCATGATCATCCTTATTATGATGTCATCGCTTCTCATCATCATCATGATGATCATCATCATCTCATTCTTATTCTTATTCTTATATGCATTTCAAAAGTAACTCTAGGCCCCATTGGCAATGCAGAGGATGCTACGATGATAGTTATCATCACAGTCCTCATCCTTATCATCACTATCATTTTAGCCGGCACTGATGATGCCGAGGATGCTACGATGATAGTTATCATCACAGCCCTCATCTTTGTATATAGAAGAAAGATAGAAGAAAGAGATGATGATAATGATGACAATCATGATGACAATGACGAAGGCGATGACTATGATGACAATCATCATGAAGATGATAAGGATGATGACTCTTATGATAACTATCATCGTAGCATCCTCTGCATTACCAAAGCTGCGGATGACTGTCATGATAACTATCATCGTAGCATTCTCTGCATTACCAAGGGTGCCTAACGCCACATGTGAAATGTGTATAGAAGAAAGATAGAAGAAAGAGATGATGATGATGATCATGATGACAATGATGAAGGCGATGACTAGGATGACAATCATCATGAAGATGATAAGGATGATGACTCTTATGATAACTATCATCGTAGCATCTTCTGCATTACCAAAGATGATGATGACACTCATGATGACGATGATGCAGCGATGACTATGATGACAATCATCATGAAGATGATAAGGATGATGACTCTTATGATAACTATCATCGTAGCATCCTCTGCATTACCAAAGCTGCGGATGACTGTCATGATAACTATCATCGTCTGTCATGATAACTATCATCGTAGCATCCTCTGCATTACCAAGGATGCCTAACGCCACATTTGATATGTATATAGAAGAAAGATAGAAGAATAGAAGGAAGAGATGATGATGATGATGACAAGCATGATGACGATGATGACGGCGATGACTATGATGACAATCATCATGAAGATCATAAAATGACAACTATCATCGTAGCATCCTCTGCATTACCAAAGCTGCGGATGACTGTCATGATAACTATCATCGTAGCATCCTCTGCATTACCAAGGATGCATTTCAAAAATTCAAATGTATATAGAAGAAAGATAGAAGAAATTCATGATGACGATGATGAAGGCGATGACTAGGATGACAATCATCATGAAGATGATAAGGATGATGACTGTTATGATAACTATCATCGTAGCATCCTCTGCATTACCAAAGCTGCGGATGACTGTCATGATAACTATCATCGTAGCATCCTCTGCATTACCAAGGATGCCTAATACCGCATTTGAAATGATAGAAGAATATCATGATGACGATGATGAAGGCGATGACTATGATGACAATCATCATGAAGATGATGAGGATTATGACTCTTATGATAACTATCATCGTAGCATTTTTTGCATTACCAAAGCTGCGGATGACTGTCATGATCACTATCATCGTAGCATCCTCTGCATTACCAAGGGTG